TCACAGGGTCCTAGAGAATGCGAGATAATGGGGTGCAGATGAGAAAGAGGATAACTGGGGCATCGAGAGATATACTCATTGTATTAAGGTAAACTTAACTATCACTCTTTGTGTCATCATAAACTAAAAAGGGGACTCAAATTCATATAAGTTCTGATTGACTTTGGGCATAAGCAGATTCTACTAAACCCATTCAGGTAGGGCCAAGCAGACACTCGTGGTCGAGGATACGATAACATATGGTTTGGTAAAAACTTAACCATACTCATGACAAATGATATTCAGTTAGAAAATTAATCCTTAAGAAAATAAATGAAAGACTCTTGAACACCATAAAGAATTCATATGAATTTTCTCAAAGGATCGAGAATATTGGACTGGCAGGGACAGAAATGTTAGTAAGTTTTAACGTACAATCCATGTACATAAACATCTCAGGCGAGAAGGCAATCACCGCCTTGCTGGAGACCTTGGAACGAGAGGAGGATATCTGGGAAGCAGAGCGGATACGGAAGGAGTCGTTAACACAACTAATCAATCTGACAGTAAGTACCATATATTTTACATTCATTAGCAATATCTATGAGCAAATATTTTAAAAAGTGATGGGATCTCTACTTTCACATCTTTTGGCAAATGTATAGATGAACAGATTGGAAAAGGAATTCGAGAATTCACCATTGCAACCAAGAATGCTTATGCGATACCTGGACGACTACTTTGCACTTTGGTCACATGGTAAGAAAAATGTGAATGAGTTCCTCAATTCTATAAACCAACTTGACGGAAGAATTAAATTCACAATGGAGGTGGAGGAGGATAAACTACTATCCGTCCTGGATGCTGAGGTCATTCGCTCCAACGAAATGCACAGGAAACTATTCAGAAAGAAATCACATGCGGGAATAGCCCAGGACAGAAGGAGAGATACTACAACTGTTTAGCAAACAATTGGTCAAAGGATCGACTTCAATTGTCTCTTTGACGAGTTGTAGTCTGGTGCTAAGAATGGCAAGGCTCACTGAAGATGTAGGCGAAACGTCTGGGAATGTACCAAGTCCATGGTACGACTTTGGAAATTATCATACATACTATAGACTCCGGACAAGGTGCGTTCCTTAAGGTCTTCTTGCCAATATGACCAAGTTGCGAAAACAAGGCCAAACAACTTCTAAGGTAAATTATTGTCCTTCTCTATCTCCCTGTCAATTCAACATTGCAATCAAGCCGGTTAAATAAGAACAATAAATTATCTAAACTATCCTTACCATGCTGTCATATGGCAAAGTAGTCGAATAATTAAATGCCAATGATGGAGGGACACTTTATTGAAGATGTAAGATTGACAACAAAACTGTTATTTAGATATATAGATATCTACTTTGTCATATGACAGCATGGCAAGGATAATGTAGATAGTTTCTTGTTCTTAATTAAACTGATTGTGATAATGATTTGGATCTGCTAAAACTAATATTTCTTGAGAATAAGTACTTTGAGCCCTCACTGCTCGTTTCGGTATATGCGAACACATGGAGGCACATAAACATACAGAGGCAGGCACTCACACACTCCAAGGTTGACATACGAATGGAACTAACCAAGTCACTTTATACCCCATCAAAGAGCTTAGATATAGTGTATATATGCGAATAAAAGTTGGATTTCGAGGAATCTCTTGTTTCATAATTGTTGAGCATACTTTCATTCCGAGTAAAAGAGTTGGGTGAAGAGACTCAGAGGTCGATTCCACCAGAAGACGACGGCGAATTCCTCTTGACCAGCTCTCGATTGGCTTTACTGGAAGATTCATGCTGACGCTGTTTCCGAGGTAACCTTCTTCAATTTCGGTGTAAAGGTGCTAAGCTTTCGTCCGTCATATGACGAACATCATCAGAGCAAGGTATTATCGTCCCAACCAAATTCAAGCTAACGAGTCAAAAAAACTCAAACACAAACAGGCACATACGCATACAGAGACGGACACACTGACATGCTTCGAAGATGACATATGACCATAACTGACCAAATCACCTTATACTTGCTCAAAAAGGCCAGATATATAGTATATATACTACTTTTTAAGGATTTGCCGGTGAGTTTTATTGACTCGTTAGCTCGAATTTGGTTGTGACGATGATACCTTGCTCTGATGATGTTCGTCATATGACGGACGAAAGGTTGACAACTTTTAACCGAAATCGAAGGAGATTACCTCGGAAACAGCGTCAGCATGGATCTTGCAGTAAAGCCAATCGACAGCTGGTCAAGAGGAATCCGCTGTCGTCTTCTGGTGGAATCGACCTTCGAATCTCTTCATCCAACACTTTCACTCGAAATGGAAGTAGACTCAACAATAGTGTATATATACATCATTTTAGGAATGAACTTGAATATGGTTTTAAGGATGATACCCTGCTCTGAGTATGTCCGTCATAAGACGGACGGAAGCTTAGCATATTTTAACTGGGATCAAAAGGATTTACCTCGGAAGCAGCGTCAATAGGAATGCTCCAGCAAAGCAAATCGGCAGCATGTCATGAGGAATCCACAGTCGTCTTCTGATGCGATCGAACTTCGAATCTCGTCAACAAACACTTTTACTCAAAATGGAAATAAGCTCAACAATCATATATGATGGCTTAGTATACTTACCAGCTGAACCGACAAACCTCCTGCCATCAGAATTTCCCCGCTGTTGCCAAGAAAATATGTCTCTGATGCAATGAAGCCCCGTAGCTGTAAGTTCATCTGACAATGAATTATTGGTCGGATGAGTGGGTGTTTCCATCGTCTTTAGGACAGTTTCAACTTCTTCACATCCCAAGCTGACAGAACTCATCAAACTGTCGATGCTGCGGAGGCCCAAGCAGCCGGTAGCAACCAAGCAAACCAGCCAATAAATTTGAGGATTCGCTGTTAACGGCCAAGAGGCATCAAAGGAAAGAGATGAATCATCCTCTCCAGATGATAAACTGCTCCTTGCCCTAAAAAACGGCTGAGTTGTTGCCTGGCTACTGGTACTAGCCACTTCTAAAGCACTGCATCCGGTCACGTCGATATCAGTTCCAAAAGACGCTTTCATCGCCGTTGGATATGTGCACTCTAAATCGAACAGATTCATTCGGAGCCCGAGCAGACAGGAAAGACGTAACCCTGGCACAAGGTGACCTCTAGAAACAAGAGGAGAAAGTGAAGATGACGAAGGCAAATCTGATTCATCCTTTTGCTGAGATTTGTGAATTGTCGAAAGATGGTCACGTAGCCAAGAGAAGCAGGCAAGCTCTATTATCACAGAAGACTGATGTACAAGCTGTGTAGTCATAAAAATGAATTAAAAATGCGGGATGAATGATGCAATCCGAGGTCTCAAGTAGTTATATTGCCTTTTGTGATAAATAAGATTTACAAATTAGATTATTAATTTCCAGGGGACATACGTTGGTTGCTCGGCTCGGATGAATCGAAGCAAAAGTGTAACCTCTCAACCTATTTCATATACCTAACGACATTACCAGACATCCATAAATTTTCGAACTTAGTACATGTGCAACTGAGTAACGGAGTATAACTGCTCCACACAAATTCAACAGTAGTGTCTTTCATGTGGCGTAAATAGCTAAGCTGAGAAAGTTCACACTCTTTTGCTCGCGAGAAAAATTGGCTTAGAGTTGTTTACAGGAGAATGATTATTATTCTAATGTGCTAAGACTATCGCAACAATAAAAAAAGCACAAGGTTTCTAATTCAAGAAGATTGACTAGTTCAAAAAAAGAAGGTCAAAACCTTATTAGGGTCTAATTAAAATAAGTGAATAATGCTATGTACGGCAACTAAATTAGTGATATATTCATTATAAGTAGGTTTTAGTATAATCTCTGGATCTTGAATAAGAGTTATAGTCACCCGAGGTCGTATAGGGCGATGAGGAGCTGATAGATGAAGTTTCATACAATGATAAAGGTATATCTCACGATGCCAATGAACTCGCTTTA